TATATATATATATATATATATATATATATACGTACATGATACACATGAACTTTTTCTTTTTACTAATGACATCAGCAGTCTTCACACGACCCAGTTTTATTACTGCTAATAAGACAGTACTATTACCAAACGTATTTAACCCTAATCAAAACAAGTTTATAGAGGACCTGGTTTTAATAGGCAATATTTACACGAAAAGATGATAGTGGGTACTTCTTCTATGCCCAATAAACTTGATGGCTACAATAACTAAGATCAAATTTTAGGAAACTTATCCACCACAAAGTAATGTAAATCCAACAAAATTAAAAATGAGGGGTTTGAGCTTACACATCTGGATACTAATTATGTCATTAGAAAGATCTATTTCTGTTATGTATCATTTAACAGAAAGACGGGTGAGTCACAAAAACATCACACCACATTAATAAAGGCGAGTAGGCTGAACTCGCACCAGGACTATTTTGTACACTTGTCAAAGTACTGTTGTATGGTTTAACCAATCAGAAGTTTTTGTTTTTTTTATCAATCACTAAATATGGAAAAAAAATCTAAATAATTTCTCCATGCATTTTAAATTTTTAACTCAACTGGCTATCCCCTCCTCCCTCCCCTAGACAAATTAAAACAAAAAAGTCATTCAACTTCCATTACAGCATTACTAGTAATGTTTATATGATTAAGCTTTTTTTTAAAACTCAATCAGTACACAACTAGTAACGTTTATATGGTTCAGCTTTTCTTTTAAACTCAACCAGTACACTACTAGTAGTGTTTACTTGCTTCAGCTTTTTTTTAAACTCAACCAGTACATTTAAAAGAAAAGCTGAAGCAAGTAAATGCTACTAGTAGTGTACTGGTTGAGTTTAAAAGAAAAGCTGAAGCAAGTAAATGCTACTAGTAGTGTACTGGTTGAGTTTAAAAGAAAAGCTGAAGCAAATAAACACTACTAGTAGTGTACTCCTCAACCAGTACACTACTAGTAGCATTTACTTGCTTCAGCTTTTCTTTTAAACTCAACCAGTACACTACTAGTAGTGTTTATTTGCTTCAGCTTTTTTTTTTAATTCAACCAGTACACTACTAGTAGTGTTTATTTGCTTCAGCTTTCTTTTTTAATTCAACCAGTACACTACTAGTAGCATTTACTTGCATTTACTTAGTACACTACTAGTAGTGTT